TGTGCGGTCTTGACATTTCCATCACTGCCTTTATCTTCTCGGGAGATTTGCTGATTTTATTTTGCTCAATCAGATGTCCTAAGTATTCAATCTTTGTTTCAAAAAATGTACATTTCTTTCGATTTAGATGTAAGTCGTATTCTGTTAGTCTTCTTAAACACATTCGAAGGTTGTGAGCACATTCTGCTTGGGTTGCTCCATGGACGACTATGTCATCGAAATAAGCTTCACACTTATTAAGTCCATTGAGGATTTGTGACAAAATTCTGTTGAATTCTGAGGGAGCGGTTTTTATGCCAAAACTGAGACGGTTCATGAGAAAGGTTCCCTTATGTGTTGACATAGTTTGGATTTCACTACTTTCTTTGTCTACTGCTAAATGTAAGTACGCTTTATAAAGGTCAAGTTTGCAAAAGTATTTGGAATTTCGGAGACTGTTAAGAACATCTTCAACCGTCCTTATAGGAAAATTAGCCGAGACTAACCTCTCGTTTACACCGCACTTGTAATCCACACAAAGTCTCAGTCCACCATCTGGTTTGGGAATGATGACGAGAGGTGATCCCCAGTCACTTGTCGCAATCGGAGTGATGATTCCCTCTTTTTCTAAAGATTCCAACTCCTTTTCAACACGTTCTCTAAGTGCATATGGGACATCACGTTCTTTTGTAAATACCGGTTTTGCGTCATCTCTTAAAGTTAATGAAACTTGAATGTTAGGAGCACAACCAATTTTTTCCTCAAAAATTGAAGCAAACTCATTCAGAATGTTATTCATATCTTGAAAGTTCTTTCTGTCGCCATCAACCAAATGGACTTTTGGATTAGTTTTCATGTCATGATCGATTTGTTTTAGTTCAATGTCGAAAGCACGGATCAAATCTCTACCTAAAATAGGATCGTGGCCTGATGAAACTACATACACTTCTGCTTTTAAAGATCGTTCTTTATATTGTAATGTAACTTTTGCTTTTCCTTTACATGGCACAATATCATTGGAATAAGCTCGAAAATTTAGATTTGAAGGTTGAAGATCTATTCCCAAATTCAATGCTAAGAACTTATCCTCTGGTAAAATTGTGTACCGTGCACCAGAATCTACTTCCATCTTCAGTTTCTTGTGGTTTATCGCTACCTCTACTATGTACTTTCCATGTCCAGGTTCAATTTCGTAGAGGCTGATGATTTTCTGATCTTTGGATACTGAACTGATTATGTTGCATGCCCCGTAGGAACAATCAGATTGTGAGTCATTGATCATATCATTGTCAGAGAATCGGTTAACTTGTTTACTTGAAGCATATTTCTTGGTCAGGGTATTGATGCAAACTTTTTGAATGTGGCCATTCTTCTTACATGCTTCACAGAATAGTTTTTCACGCCTTATTCGACACTGGTTTGATCGGTGGTTAGATGTTCCACATCTGAAGCAAAGATTGTTGATTCCTAAGGACTCATAATCGATTCTTTGGCTTGATCGATGCTTGTATGATGGTTTTTTCCAGGGAGATGATGTTGATGATGATGATGATGATTTCCGAGTGGATGGATGATCGTGTCTAGTGGTCTTCTGAATTTTCATTATATCTGGCACTGAAGAACTAGGGATCAGAGGTTTTGAAATGTTTGAAAGTTCCTTGCACTGGATTTGGGCTGCTTCAAGAGCTATAGCTCTCCTGACTATTTCATCAAAGTTCTCTTCCTTTCCTTTGAAAAGTTGTTCTCGAATGCTATTATCACGAATGCCCCTAATGAATTGAGCCCTTAAGAAAATGTGAGCTGTTGAAATGTTTTCTCTGCATTCACATTTTATGTAAAATTCACAGTCAGCAAGTCGTTTTTGCAAACTTGCAACATAGTCAGGTATGTTTTCACTTTCTGATTGGTAAGTGGAGAAAAAGTAATGCTGCGACACTACAGTATTCTTTTTAGGCGATAGCATTTCGCCAAAGGCTTCAACTAGCTGTTCATATTCCAAGTCTTTGATTTTCTTTGTAGGTCCTTTGAATGCAACTAAGTTGTTGTAATGGATAGAACCGATTGATGCACATAGAATTTGAGCTTTTTTAGTTTTGTTTGACACATTCTTCATGCTGAGATAGTTTTCAAATCGTTCAATATAGGCTGAAAATCTTTCTTTTTCTGAGTTGTAACTTTCAAATTGAGCAGTTGGATCTGGTGTGTTATCTTTCATTTTTTGTTCTAGTTTCTCAAACAACAGAAATAGAAGATCCATTTGTTGTTTCTGGCCTTCTATGAATTTGTCAAATTGTTCTGAGTTCATTTTGTTGTTGTAACTTGAATGTTCCTAAGCCTGAGGTGTAGTTATTAACATGTTATTTGAAGAAAAGGTAATTGAAAAAAAAAATGTAACTGGTCATTAATGTATGAATAAACAAATTTATACTTTTACCTCGTCGCCAAAACTGTTGTAACTCTTTATAACATAATAAAAGATAAATCAGATAAAAAAGTGTATTATTCCATTAACATAGAATAGAAACTAAACATAAACAATAGTAATCAATAAGAAGAAAGATCATATGATCAGCTGGTAATTCAAATGCAGTCTATTAGAAATTATAACAGTAGGTAAGGTAAAGTACAGATTATGATCCTAGTTGTTAGTTTATGTTATCTTCAGACTGTTTTTGTCCAATTAAAACACTGGGTAAGCCATTGCAAAATATGTACCCTACTATTCCAAAGTTGGTTTGTGCAATGAAAAACAATAAACTCATAGAATCATAGCTTGTTTTTTAATGATAGTCATAATGAAACAACGTTGCTGAAACTCAAATTTTACCGTCTCTGTGTAAAAGTTAACCTGCACTAAGTGTAGAAATATCAACTAACAACTTCAACACATTTTATGTATTTAAAAAAATAAAAAAATAGGCCTATCGTCATTAAAAGGCCTCGTTACTTAGACTGGCATTACAGTATTATATTAGTCAAGTTGATTTTTTATGTTATTATATTGCCATTCATAGTTTGTTTGTCATTATGAGCCATAGACAGAAGTTGTTTGCAATTCTGGTGTATTGAGTGTCCATTTGATCAGAATGCCTTGATAACAGAAAACTTGATAAGATAAGCTCAGTAGGCACTATGTTTCAATCTTAATATTAATTTTAATCTAACTCATAACAATTTTGTTTATGCAAAAACTATTCTGTATAACTTGGTAATTAATGCATTTTTGTTTTCCTAAACTAAATTTAAATGTTTAATAAATAAATAAAAGGTTAAAATACCTGCTTGTTGCCTTGTGGTCTTAGTATTTTATATTAGTATACTAGGACCACAAGGCGACAAGCAGGTATTTTAACCTTTTATTTATTTGTCAATCAATTGGTCCGGAAACACCACAACAAAATATGAAGTTAAATGTTTAGATGTTAATTATTATTCAAGTCTTGGATTTATACCATAAGTGCTGATAAATAACCAGACTTTGCCTCTCAATAGTTGGCTTTTTGGAGGAGAGTGCTTTTTGTATACCATCTATCAATGATCTTATTGTTAAGTTTTACATATCAACTTAGAAATTTTAACTCTATGGGCCCTATTACACTTGGTCACCAGGCGACGTCATTGGTGTTACTGTATGGGCAGCCAGGCTCAACACCTGAGATGTCACCAGGAGTGACACCAACCCTCAAAATTCCTCCACTCCAGTGTCTACGTATGCATTCAGCGCTGTCACCTCGTTGAAGGACAAAGTACTCTGTTATCCGCGTCTCTTCAGTTTAAAAAATGTCCAGTGAACAAACATTATTGAATAAACGGGGAAGAGATGCAGGGAAAGGAAAAGGGGAAGAAGACTTAGTAAAAGTAAGCCAGTCTAGTGTAAAATGTAGTGGTGAAAAAGATACCACTAAATTTTCCTTGGGGGTGCACGTACATTTTCCTTGCTCGTCTCCTCCTTTTCCTCAACAAACGAGCAATAATTAGCATTTCTTCATATTTTTCCATTCAGTACGTCCACCCACTACACTGGCAACAATCTGAACACGAAAATACAGTGGTGACGCAACACCGGTGACTGTGTGTAATATGTGCCATTTGATTCAATGCCCAGCGACAAATCTTGGTCACCAGGAGACGTCACCGGTGACCTGACTGGTTGGTGGGCGGGCACTGGTTGGTGGGCGGGCACTGGTTCTTACGGCACCTATTACACTAGAGTCACCGGTTGCGTCACCAGCCTTTGGTGACTGACCGGTGACTCTGCCCCGTGACCAGACGAGTAACCAAGATTTGTCGCTGAGTATTGAATCAAATGGCACATATTACACACAGTCACCGCTGTTGCGTCACCACTGTATTTTTAGATTGTTGCCAGTGTAGTGAGTGGACGTAATCGGAAAAATATGAAGAAATGCTACTTATTGCTCTTTTGTTGAGGAAAAGGAGAAGACGAGCAAGAAAAATGCACGTGCACCACCAAGGAAAATGTAGTGGTATCTTTTTCGCCACTATATTTTACACTAGACTGGCTTCCTTTCACTGAGTCGTCTTCCCTTTTCCCTTTCCCTGCATCTCTTCCTTGTTTATTCACTAATGTTTGTTCACTGGACATTTTTTAAACTGAAGAGGTAAGACGCGGATAACAGAGCACTTTGTCCTTCAACGAGGTGACAGCTCTGAATGTATGATTGTAGATACTGGAGTTGAGGAACTTTGGGGGTTGGTCTCACTCCTGGTGACTTCTGGTGTTGAGGCTGGCTGCCTGTACAGTGTGACGTCGCCTGGTGACCAAGTGTAATAGGGCCCAATTAGTTTTGAGATTCATGAATGGCTTCTAGGTTTTGCAGATTTACACTCTTACTAACCAGATGTTTTTGTTTAGCCTATATGTACTGTATTTGTATTTGAGTTTGCAGTTGTTTGTTGCAAGTGGTAATTATTTACGCATATATATGCAAGTAGGTCGTATTAGAGGATTTTTGTACTCTCATACACTATCGTATCTAAAACTTTACCTTGTGTTTCAGGGAATGTGTATGGCAGAGCCGTTTACAGTGCAGTACATTGACGATGAGAATGATGTTGTAAGTGCATTTTATATTTCAGAAACTATGCATTAGTACATTTTATAGATTATATTGTTTTCATAATCATTAAAAATCTTATTGTCTATTGTGATTTTTTAAGACAAGGATCTATTTTCTAAGGCTTTAGTATCACATGATCCAGCAATTCACCTGAAGCAAAATGATGCACAACGATTTGCTTGGAAGCGTTTTTTTTTTCTTTGCTTCTCCAGTGAGCGGAAGTTTCAAGCAATTCAGCATTTGGTTTCAAGCAAAAATAAGAAAAAATAAACACTTTTTTCTCTGGTCCTCTACTACAGTATTGTTTAAACATCAGTCAGTTTGTTTTTGCAAAATTTTGGACTAAATAGAAAGAAAACATTGGGTTTACACAATCAATCTGATGATGGACATTAAGGATTTTCTCTCAGAAATGAAATCAGATCCAGGGAAATTTTACAACTATTGTCGAATAATTGCTATTCTAATTAATTTGAAAGGGTTTAAATACTGTAAGTTATACCGTAAAAAACTATTAGATAATGGCGTGATGGTTAAATAATGGACTGAGTATTCTTGGTAATTTCTTAATTATTTTACTACTTTGCATGGGCTGTATGACTATCAAAGTGGTAGCAAGAAAAATTAAACAACAATATTGTTCAATGGAAATACAAAATATAATTGTCAAGTTTTAATGGAACTTCAAATAAGAGTTAGTTATTTTTTAAACAACAAAAGGCCAATTGAATTTTGAGAGCCACTAAGCCTATTCTAGTTATAAGGGATTTGGCGCATGCGCAGAACATTTTGCCCCTTGAAACATCAAACATCGTGCTGTCTATTCGTCGAGCAACTGCTCAAATGTTTCAAGAACATTTGATGTAAGAACATCCAAGATGGCGGACACTCATCACCAACTGTACTAGTGCTCCCCATTATTTAAGTGAATTAAGTGGTAAAACCAACAAATTACCTACATAACTTCACACAAAACTGTACTCATCAACCGTAAGTACACAAAAATCATGAGAAACTAAGACCTACATAACTAAAGAGTAGATTCAATCTGAAAACAAATTTGCTGCACAAGGGCTTACAACTCACCAACATACCTTGCTCTCATCTTTAAAATATTGAATAAAGCACCAAAATAAATTTGTATAATCTTCTGACAGTATAAACTGAAAAACTCTAGGCCTAAGATATTTATGAATAATACACTAGGCTATTTACAGAACTAGAATAAACCAATTAAAACTGTGAGAGCTGGTGACAAGCAATGCTGACAGAGCACAATCAGCACATTCCATCTTTGCTAACCCACTCAAAATACTGCTAACAACTGACCAATGCCAACATGAGCTGAGCTGTGCTTTCAAATCACTAATGCAAGACTGCACATATGTTATCAATTGACATAATATTCCTGATAAAAAACACTTAAACAATTTGACCAAACCAAGAAGAAATTTATTTCACAACCACCAAAAACTAAACCCCCCTAAAAAAGTGACAATCAGAAACCACCTTAAATCATGTCAAAATATCCATGCGGAATATGCAACATAGGGGTAAAACACAAAGGCATTCTGTGTACCGGAGAGTGCAATCAATGGTATCACTCCAAATGCCTGAACTGGACAGATAAAAAACTGAAAACGCTTACGAACCTAGAGATACAAAACTGGAAATGTACTTCATGTACCGAAGACACCAAAGTCCAAAACCCCAGTGTAGACGAACTAGAGCAAAGAATTAGTAACCTAAGGCCCCTATTACACTAGGTAGCCTGGCGACGTCGCCAGCGACCAAACTGGCTACTCAGCTTGTCATGGGGCATTGATTCTTATGGATGTTATTACACGAGGGTAGCCAGCGACGCAGCCACACTTTGGCGACCGACTGGCTACCGAGCCCCGTCGCCACTGTGGTAGCCACTGGCTACCCATATTGGCGACGCTGCGTTGTAGCATATGGAGCTTATTACACTAGGTCGCCAGGATCACGTCGCCACTCGGTCAGTTCACGGGGTACTTGCACACTGTTGTGTTGAGTTCTCTTGTGTTGTTCAATTGTTGTTGAATTGTTCACTTCAGAATGTCTACATCTGATTCAGTCGAAGGGACTAGGATCGAAGATAGGAAGAAAAAAGAAGAAGCTCCGAAAGGAGAACAAAAGAAAGATAAGAAAAAGGAAGAGGAGCTCACGAAAAAGTGCCAGAAGTTGGCCGACAAGTGGAACACTGAAGACTTTATCAGTGAAATTGAAAAACGCCCTTCTATTTGGAACTGTGCTATTGAGGATTACAGCAACAAACATGTGAAATTGAGTGCGTGGAATGAAATTTTGTGCACCTTCATACCTGACTTCGAAGAGCGGGAGGTGGCTGAAAAAAATGTCCTCAGTAAGTACTGGTTACGTTATTCAGTGAGATTGTAAAGTAAAATAATGTTGTATAGTTTTGATTTTGTATTACCGTACGGAGTTATTTTGTTAGTTTAATGTTCAGTTTATTTGCATAAACCTTCATTCATAATCAACCTAATCTAATGCCAAAGAAAATTAAATACAGTAATTACACAAACATTATACAACAACTATTTTACTTTACACACTCGCTGAATTAAGTAATGATATGTAGTTCATTTAGAATAGTTCATTGAGAAAATGTGTTTTATTTAACATAACATACCTCATGTTTCAGAGTTAAGTGAATATTTGTTGTTTAGTGATAACAATTGAAACATAACTAAAGGATAGTGTTTTCATTTTTTTTTGTTACACAAATTTTCTTAAATTTTGGAAAACATTTTTTTAGAATAGTTCATTGAGAAAATGTGTTTTATTTAACATAACATACCTCATGTTTCAGAGTTGAGTGAATATTTGTTGTTTAGTGATAACAATTGAAACATAACTAAAGGATAGTGTTTTAATTTTTTCTTGTTACACAAATTTTCTTAAATTTTTGAACACATTTTTTTAGAATAGGTCATTGAGAAAATGTGTTTTATTTAACATAACATACCTCATGTAATAAATATTGTTTAATACAATTGTTGTTCAATTATTTGTGTCCCATTCGTGTGCCCAAAATTTTTATGAGCGATTTTCTTGTTATTTTGTATTATATTTATGACATTTTAGATTTTGAATAACTTTTATATTTTTCAACTAATTAAACAATTTTTATTTTGTTATATTCTACATGAAATAAAGAAACTTTTGACCCATGGAAACTATCATAGCTCATACAAAAATAACTCAATCGTTTGAACAAATGTAATTTTTTTAAGTTAAAAAACATTTTATACTCAAAACAAAAATATTAGTGTTGCTTGTAGTTGGATTTCCATGCGTGACAAGTTTCTAAATACTATCAAAATGAAGTGGTTACAATTTCGAGTGAAAAAAAATAAAAATAAAATATTAATATACATAATATATATATATATATATTCTTTATTTTTTTATTAATATTGTTTTTCCATAGATTCGCAAGAAACACCAACTTTTCGCGAAGCACGCGATTCCATGAAAACATCCTAAAATGTTAGAAATAATGCTCGGAATTGCTTGATATTTTGCAGACACAATTTTAAGAATATTTACAATGTATTGGAACCAAAAACACTAAATCACAACAAATTTACTAAATTAACTTTTGGAGGAGGAGGTTCCCCTTAACTATGTTGTTATACAATTTCAATTTTTATTTAACAAGGAGACTTACCTTAAAGTGACTACAAGCTTCTCCTCGGGTGTAATACATCTTCTCAATGCAGTATCAGTTCCAGTTATATCATCCTTTATGAGACCTAACAACTCGAAGAAACTGGATTGTGACATACGAAAATAATTGACAAATTTTGTATTGTCCGCACAGAGCTCATAAAAAAGGGTGTAATATAACCCTTTTGATTCTCTTGCACTAAGCATTGGATGAACGTGCATTTTTCTCTTCCTTAGCCTCCTTTTCTTCAGAAGTAACAGAAGGAGAAGATACTTATAATCACTCATTATTCACTGTAAACACCGCTCATAACAAGTACAAGTGCAAGACAAGCACTCACAACAACGGCGCCAAGGCGGTAAAATTCTGGCTACTCAACTGGCTACTCAACTGGTTATAGGTTTGGTGGCCAGTGCGTCGCCAGCTACTGCCGCTGGCGACGTCGCCAGGCTACCTAGTGTAATAGGGGCCTAAGTGACATAGAATCAGCTGACCTTGAAACATCACTATCTTTAGCATCCGAGGTTGGCAGCACACTACTAACGGAGAATAAAGAACTCAAACAAAACTTAGTAACTATGACAAACAAGTACATTATCCTAGAAAATGAAATAAAGGAATTGAAAAACTCCAAAGACCATTCCTTAATATAGGTACCAACAGCAACTAGAGGAATGCATTATTGAAAAGGAAAACATCCTATTCAAATGTAACTCATTGAAAAAACAGATGAACTAGATAAAGCACTGATAAAGGAGAAACAAATGAGATATGGCCTAGAAAAAATGTTCAAGGAGCATGACAAGGAGAGTACTGAAACTATTCTTAGATATGAAACAAACATCAAACAGCTCCTTAACAAAGTTAAAGAACTTGAACAAAATAAGCCTGTCGCAGATAGAAACCCAGCTAGACCAATATACACAGACTCTGAAACCCAAAAAACAATCTCTGACGCATTCCCATAAACTCAGATATGGCATTGCGACTTGGGGTGGAACATCAAAAGGCAACCTGGAAAGAGTACTCCTAAAGCAAAAAAGAGCAATTAGATGCCTTGCCGACCTAAACTATAGAGACAGTTGCCGAGAAGCCTTCAAGAACCTTAAAATTCTCACATCAATTTCACTCTACAAAAGAGAAGTCATTATCCACACCACTAAAACAGCCCAGCCAAGACACAGAGACATAGACCAGCACAACACACAACATGCCGCCAATTTTTCCCTCCCACAACACCATCTGAGTCTGTACGAGAAGAAACCATCCTACAAAGGTGCTCTGTACTTTAACAACCTACCAGAGCACCTTAAGAGAGAACAACCCAATCTGTTCAAGAAGCACCTGACAACATGGCTTATGGACCGGCCGTTCTACTCTGAGGATGAACTCTTAAACAATAAGCTACCATGAAAAAAAAAGAAAAAAAAATTCTAATTGTAATTGCAAATGACTGTAATAGTTTATGTACATACTGTACATTTTATGTACCTGACACATGAATGTTCTCTAGGAATATTTCAATAAAGATTTTGTCTATTGTCTATTGTCAAGGCGTTGCGAGGCGCCTCGCAACGTTTGCTTGATCAGTGTGCGGCCTCCTATTGAAATACATGGGGCGATCGTACCCAGTGAAACATTTTGCCTCGCAACACTTGCTTCAGGTGAAATGCTGCATCAGTGTGTGGCTGGCCTAAAGTAATAGCAAAATACTGTTGGGCCTACGCCTGAATACAGGTCACCAACCAGATGAATCAACACTGTGTAATTACAAGCATTATTGTGATTTGTCAATAATTAGGTCTATATAAGCACCGATATTACCATCATCAGGACTAACATATTCTTATCAATGGCCTTATTTACAAGAGAGTTTTATGTTATGGATGTAATAATAATCAGCTTTAAATCAGAAATTTCCTTCGACAATGAGACATGTAATTTTTATTAAATTACAATGTTTACTTTTGATCTATTACGTTTATTAATTTTAAACCGTCACACAAATCAACTGATTGAAATGAATAAAATTTATTACTGTTTCAAACTAAGTTATGCAAGGCCTACTAGTTTATTAATAGAATCACTAATATACACGTTTTAAAAACTTTGTTGCTTGCAGATTTCAATTGATACAGAAGAGGAGTTTCAAGAGTTTGCAAAGGTAAGCTAGAATGGTTATTATCACAAGAGCCCCCTTGTCTTGCACGGAGATAACCTCACATTGTTAAATTGTTTCACACTATTGTCTAGATAAGAACACCTAAAGAATCATTAAAAGTTACTTAGATAGAATACCTATCATATTTGGCTGATAAGCCTAATTGTCCGCTTCTGAGACTTGGTCTGCACTAACTTATAACTGCAGTTCCCAGCTTAGCAATGTGACTTGTACCAAAACTTCACTGTCTTCGCATATCACTGCAGAGACCACTAGGTTCCAAAAGCTGTCACGGCTTGCTAAAAAAATGTTGTTTCTAAAAAAAACTATTAAAACTCTCATGCATGTCTTAGTATGTACCTATTACAGAGTCTATATCATATGTCAATTTTGATAGTGAATTTAATATGTTCATTCCAAAGACTTTTAAAATGGTTTTTTATGTTAAAACTTGAAAGAATTTTTTCAGAGGCTAGAATTGCACTGGTGATGGTTAGGGAAATGATTCTTTTATTCTTTTGCAGCCATCATTTTGATTTGATATCAGAATACAGTAGACCCCCTCTTAACCGACCCTAATGGGACCGGACCTAGGTCGGATAACTCAAAAGGTTGGATAAAACGGACAATCCCTAAAATCATAACATAATGAAGTGCTATTCATTTGGAATTATATAATCATTATTTTGGAATCATAATTGCATTATTTATCAAATAAACTACTCTTATCTCCTTTTTCCTATTGATAGAAAAGTCACAAATAAACACAAAACACGGTTAAGTCAAATAGGCCTACTTTCAGTGGAATATATTATAATATTAGGCAAGAGTCAATAAAATTCCTATTTTAATAACTTTAGTACTGTAATTTATTAATTGATGCTTTACAAATCCATCGTAATGAGGTACAGAACCTTTTGTCAAAATTAAAGATACAAGCAACCATTTTGTTACAAGACAGGACGTTTATTTATAGCCTCTCACTGGAGGCTCGAGGCAGAAAAACTATCTTGACCTTGGAGTTGTTAACCCCCCTTCCCTGCCATCCCTTTAAGTTGCTTTGTTTGTTTACTCCAGCGATAAGATAATCAGTTCTCAAAATCGTAACACACTTTATGATGTTATAAAATTGCCTCACAGATAACAAACAGATCAGATGCGCTCGAGCTACGAACGATGATGACAAACTGACGACAGGCTGTGCTATATTTTTTGTGATCAACACAAAATAACTTATTCTTAGTCATATCCTGTGGAGATAAGCATATGGTTTGGTTCTCATCGCCCAGCGAGGGAGCGGAAATGCCGAGATTCCTAGAAAGCGGCGGTTAAAACGAGCTGCTCTCAAAGCAAGGTCGGTTAAAACAAACTGTATTATTTTACGATCGAAGGCGGATAATCCGATTTTCGGTTAATACGAGGTCGGTTAAGAGGGGGTCTACTGTATCTTTATTCTATAGCCTATTCTTATAGCCTGCCTTAATATAAATCGATACTATACATATTTTCAAGATATTCTTACGTCCAAATGAGGGTTTTACATTGATTAATATGTTTTTTATTTCTATCTTTAACTTATTCTTAAATTGAGTACAACTAAATAAGTTTATGGTTTTTTTTTTTTAGGGATACATATGTTTTTATAATGAACTAATAGCATATGTCACTTTAATCACAATCATTTGAATGAATTTTGAGCAATAATAAAGTAAAGTGGTAAACATTTTTAATACAGTTAGAAAATTCCTGTAATGTCTTTTAATATTTGGTTTAAGCTTTTTTTCTGTTTGTGATTTGTGTTATAAATAGCAATGCTCTTAACATGTACCAGTTGAATCTATTGTGAATTTGGTCGTCTCAACTTTCAGATAGCCAAGAAGCGTTGCTCTCGTGGAATGCTTATGCGGCTCATCTTGAACTCGAACACACAAGCTCCCACACCACCAGTAAGTAAAAACGCAAATGGATACTAGTAATGTTTCTATAGTGTTGATGTACCTATGTGTTGGAACAAGGCTGTTAGGTTCGGTAAAACCCTACTTATTTGCGGATTTAATTTTGGATAACTAACATTATCTACAAGACATTCCCTTGAAATCAATTATTCAATAATTAATCTTGGATTTATTATTTATAACTATGCCATAGACTGACTATTTAAAGGTTACAAAACAATTATCTTAAAATAGAGGTGTGCGAGGCAGATTTTTGATCTAGCGGAATCTGGGCTTTTTTATATCATGAATTTTATGTAATGCCTTATAATAAGTTAATCCGTCACAAACCTTCTTTTTACAGTGGAATTTAATATTGTGATGTGAAGAGTTAGAATAAAATTTTCACATTACTTAAATAGATTATAAAACCGTGACTAAGTTTAGAATAAATGTGAACTTATTTTCTATTCTTAAAAATGCAATGTTTTTCTGAAATTTATGTAGTTACGGACGAAGAATAGGTCCAAATGAATATACAAATAATAAGTTATTAGTTACAATTAGTTCTGATAAGCCGGACTTTGGTATATTAATCTAATTGACATGTTTAGGCCTAATTAGGTCTCGAGTCCATGTTGTTTATCTATGTCTCGGTTGATTTCTAGGAAGGAAGGAAGAAGGTGCAGTTCTCGAATAGCCAGAGACATGCAAACAGAGAGTCCTCCGCGAAGACGCCCAAAACAGTCTCTGAGAAACCCATTCGGGACCCACAGGATATGCTGGTACTTTATATCTTTTAAGTGAATTCCATTCCTTAATTTGTGTACTTTCAAAAGACAGGGTGTCCGGCCAACCTGGAAACTGGGAAAACAAAATTTTATGACCGGGAAAAATTCCATTAAACTTATATAATTTTTGTAAAGAATCGAGAAATTTTAATTTTTGATAAATCACAGAAAAAATCCACCAGAAATCACCGATGAATCTTTTTTTGCGTCATTGAAAATCACGATTTTGGGAAACCATCACGAATCACGGATGTTGCTGCGGCCGTAAGAAATGATAACAGACATTGTATCTATTGTAAGAAATTATCACAACGTTGCCGCGGTCGAAAGATTACGGATGTGCGATATCGTGAAAAATTATCACAGACGTTGCCACGAATGTGTAATCATCACAAACTTTGCTGCAATCATAAGATATGATTACCAATGTGGCTGTGAACTCTGGAAATTATAACAGAAGCGGTGAATTTCGATTACGTGTGTAGGCAATGAGCATCACATTGTCACAGCGCTTCTACAAGCTTCTGGAAAATATCACTATAGTTTCATAAACCAGCTGGTTACTGTAAAAACGCCAGAATCTGTCTGTCTACAGAATCACAGATATGGTAAAAATTTGGCGTATTCAACAGAAATCAGTTGGTTACATCAGCACAATCTGTGAGTGGCTGGATTCAACTTAGTCCATTTTGATTAAAAAACTGACGACAACTTTGGAGGATGTAATCTCTATCAATAGTCAAAGGTTTCATCTATTACAGTTCATAAGAAGACTGCCTGACTGATTTGATTAGCTGGTAAATCACAGGTCTCTTGATTCTGTACTATCTTTACAAATGTTATCATTGGGTTACAGAAATTCAAACAACAATTCATAGCAGAGGTGAAGAGAGAAATTCTGTCTGAACTCAGAGGTGCAGAAGGAGCACAGGCTGGTTCATCCAACATCAACACATATGTGTTTAAAGCCAGCGGCAGCAGGGACAGTAGCCGAATGGAAGTAGACTCCAAGGAAACAGAATATGAAGAAGATTCTGATTTTCTCTGTCCTCCAGAGAAGAAGTAAGTTAATCAATCACAGCTTCTTATTGGTCTCCACATTCATACTACAATGATCGTATAAAACATCTGATGTCATGAGTTAAAAAAACACTATCATTTAAATGGTTACAAGATAAATAAATAATTATGATGGTAGATTGCAGGGATTTTCTCAAGCTCCGCTGAAACATTGGTGGAAGTTTATTAGGGGAAAAAAATGCATTGCGTAAACATATTTACCTTACATAAAAAACAATTAATCTAAGTAAAATGAAAATTCTTCTTTATTAAGACGAACTTAGGATCTCACGGTCCTATGTTGCTGCTAACCTGAACAAAAATACAACAAAACTTGGAAAAAAAAAATTACAATAATTTCTTTTTCCTACAGTTACCTAACAATGTACATGTTCTCTCACTGATTTGAGAAAGCAAAGTGGCCAATTCGCTCATCAGTGAGACAATGTTAACATTGTCTCACTCTAATTACTTTGTCTCACTCCAGATTTTCAACGTGAAGGCACGAAATAGTGAGCGCGTAACATGCAGGCAACGCCGTATGCGCGCGAAATACGTTGGCAGCACTGGCTGTAAATCAGCTGGTCAGCTGTTGTACTGTTGTATTTGTCACTTCACATTAAATGTTATATTAAAAGTTCACGAACCAATCCCAAACTCGCCTACGGCTCGTGAGTAAGGATTTCTCTCGAGTGAGTCAATTGCTCACTTTTCTCACTAGTTGCACAAATAACTATTGTTTCCGTGAAATACAATCACACACAACACATAAACAAATTGCTGTATCAAGACATAATGCACACCACCTGCCAGGAGGAGCAGGATCATAGGTGGCATGTTTTTACTATATGATTTATTAAACAGTTGTCCTGTGATGAGGAATGCTCAGTTAAGGATGCCAGAGTGAGGATCCTTTGAGCCTCTACCGAAATGTTTAAAATTTGGTATTTAATTACATAAAACATCAATATTAAGTGTAAATAATGTCTTGTGTAAATATTAACCTAATATAAACATTCCCACTATTTGATTCAGCTCTAGGAAAACCAAGCTGATGCATCACAGCCAGAAGAAGCTTGAGAAGAAGGATAAACTGATCGAATCAAAGATCGATCAGAGATTGGAAAAACTAGAGATGAAGAGGAAAAAACTGATGGACAAGGTCAATCAGAAGATGACTCCGTCAAAGTTCCTGGGCTACCAAATGTCCCAGCCAATGATCTTCAGCGCCATCGCGACCCAGGAGACTACGAAGATCGACCAGCCTGTGACTGCCTCGGAGATGTTTTCTCACACCTGGACCATCGTCAACGATGGCACCGTGTCCCTGAACAATGTAAGTTTCAGCACATTACAGTAAATCATGAATAAAGGAATAAATATTTATTCTACAAAAAACATATGCTACATCAAACACACTTTTACAAAAGATCTATGAGCTGGGCAAAATATATAACTTTAACTTTACAAATACAATAAAACTCTGTAGTTAAAATTTAAATTAAAAGTCAGTGGAAGGGGCAGAAATGGACAAAAATGCACTTGTGCAAGTACTGGGACTACCTTTTTTACTTTTGATTGACTATTGCTGATTATTTTATTGATGGTAACAAAAGTGAAAAAGTGCTGAAAGAATTTGATTTGATTTTCTATTGAATATGACAAATGAATGTGATTATGAAGTGAAAATTAGTAAGTAATAAAGGGAGAAATAGATAATTCTGAAGGAAAGTACAGTACAGTTATCATGTTGGTCTTGAAAAGTGATAAATTTATTTGGTAACCGGTACTTATTTCTTAGACTATTAGAGGAATGTATTTGAAAGCTGATGATGTTAAAAACACATAAAGGAAATCATTCTGATGCTGATATATTGGTATTTTATTTTCCAGGTTGCACTGCGTCACACTTACAGCTCTCCTGGGCTTGAGCCCAAGGATCTTGTTCTCAAGTTGACTCCTTTGCAACCAAATGAGACTTGCAACATTGTGGCCAAGTTCAGGGCTCCAAGTGAGTATTATTACTAACAAATGTTGCAACCTTCTTATGTTTCTTAAAATAAACATAACAAAAGTGTGTGTCTCGGGAAAATTGGTTTGTGCCGGAAATAATTTGGGTCAAGCTCGGATTGGGTAATTTTCAAACCAAGCTTTTATTCTTTTGATATCATTGCACCGCAGAAAGCTTCTGTAATTGTGTGATAGAAAACTCACGATTTTGCTGCAGTCGCAGGAGAAATAAAAGATAGATTCTGTAAAATATACCCTACAATGATTAGTGCACTCAGTGCTACAGTCCAGTGAACTAAGTGCATTAGTGTGAATTTGGACATGGAACACACGTTGCATCTGACTTGAGTTTATTTCCAGGATTCTAAGAAGATTATTTGCAGTATCCAAAGTCAATGGAGAAATTTTGAATCTCAAAACCGAAACCGAAACTTAAAAAAATAAAATCCTGAATCTCAAATCTCAAAACCTAAACGCAAAACCTTTTTACTTAGCTGGTTACAAAAGTTAAGGTTACAGAAAAAAATACAGGTAATAATAAAAGTTTAAGTAAGAAATCAAAACTGAAAGAGGACCCCTGACACTGACATAATATGTGACTGATAAACCTATACCGACATAATTTATTCTGAAATTAAAATAAATTAAACTCCTGGCACAAACATAAACATGAATATTAGACTAATTAGAACATTTATTGGCTAATATATCGTTATGAAACATGATTTGTTCTAGTTTTGGTTTTGAAGATGCCTTTCTAATTTCAGAATACAATTTACTGTGTTTTCTATATTGCTACCAGCTAGTGTGAAAACAGTGTTAAAGATAATAAAAATAATGCAAAAAATGTCAGTAGCCTCAAGAATAAAACTGCCAAAATCTTCAATTTTCAAACTTTTGAATCTTGAAACTCGGTGATCGAATCTTGAAACCCGGTGATCGAATCTCGAAACCGAAACTTTACCAAAGTTTTGATGGTTTTGAGATTTGAGATTTGGTTTTGACATTTGAGATTTGGTTTTGACACATCACTAATGGTACTATACAACTATTATATTCTGTTCACAAAATTTCGACAGTTTCAGGAGAAGAAATTTAGCCCCTCCACTTCAACCTACTTTTAAACAATAGTCGCCTAAAAATAAGCAAACATTCATTAAAAAAAAAAAAAAATGGGGGAACTTCTGTAAAACTGCAAAAATTTTGTGGACACTTCGTGGACAATTTTTGTGGAAATTTTTTTTATCTAGGTCAGAAGAAAAGTGATGTATTTAGGTCCACTTGATATTCACTCTTTGACATGATCCTACATTTTTATTCCAAGACCATTGATTTTTATTTGTAGTGTTAACCATAATACAATTTCTTTTTTAGAGTACAGTTAATTTTATGACCACAGTTAGCTTATTTTTCGATAGAACAAAAAAGTGTTCTTAATTAGCCAGCTTATAGTTATTGATTCATACAGAGAATTTTGTTTTTAAAATGTCAGGAGCGAGATATTAATTATAAATCAATTTTGCTACTTTGTTTTCAGAAACTCGAGGCATTACGTTCATCTCCTACTGGCATTTATTCCGTCTGGTTGACGCTCAGTGGCAAGAGTTTGGGCATTATGTCTCGGTAACTGGGACCACTGAATCTTCTGTTGGAGATACTGCAAGTAACGGTACAAACAGAAAACAATTTTCAATTCTTTAATTTTTATCTACATATTTTTAATCAAAATGATGCGTCTGTGTGATACTTTACTAGTTTTACTGACATTTTTCCCGCACTCTATGACACAAAGTTAGCAACCCTACTCAGGTTTGGGGTAGGCACATTGCTGTGTTGATATTTTTACTGAGGGCGAAACACCGCCTTAAAAAAGAGTCAACAAAGGGGAAAGGGCTCTCAAGTAAATACTGATCGGTTGCCATGGCAATTGAAAGAATACATATCACAATCTTTACTGTTGTTTTATACAAATATGCTATCGTTGCAATTTTGTTTACTCTGCCACACTTACTTACTTACTGCCGTGGCTCTTGGTACCCAAGGAGGTGCTTTGCCTCGCCAACACACTGCCTCCAGACTGCACGATCCACTGCTTCATCCTCCCTTCTTCCCATTCTTCTCAGGTCTCTTCTCACTTGATCTCTCTACCTCAACTTGGTCCTTACAGGAGGTCTTCTACTCTGCCACACAGCTAGATAAAATAAACCAAAAAGTGTTTCAGAAAATAAGTAGGCTAGTATTTTTTTACTATCACATTTTGAATATTACAAGTAAAATTACTTGGTTCTCTTAATGTGTAATGTAAAATCTTATGTTCAAACAGTGTACTTATTACTTAAAAAAGGGAATTTTTAATAACAAACTATGCCTTTTTTTAACACTATCACAATTGTACTACATCAGAAAACTGAGTTACAGAATGCAGAATGTTTTTTGGAAGGATTTATCTTCAGTTTCTCAATTACTAAAAATCATGCACTGTCATCTTGCATATCTCATTGTGTATCTATTGGTGTAATCGGTAGTTAATTGACTATATAGATAATTTAGTAAACTTTAATTTTTAATTTTTTCTTGCAATTTTAATTGGTATCCAGAAATATGTTTCTAATTTAATAAAACCAGTCTTACCTACAGACCTGACAGTAACCAACAAAAAGCCCCTAGAGGAGAATCCAATCGATATGGTTGGAATCGTGGAGGAGGAAACGAACGTAAGACTGAAACAGCAGATGGAGCAACTGCAGGCAACCCTGGCGTCCACGGAGATTGCGGCAGAGATGGCACAGAAGGCGGCCAGACTTTTGGCACGAGCTGCAGAGAGCAACAAAGGTGACAAACTGTTCTCACCATCCTGTAAAAATCCCTGTTAAGGTTAAACGGCTCCAGAATTTAAAGAAATTTTCGGTACTTATATATTTCTGATCTGCAGGCCTATAAACATTATTACATAGTTTCAAATACCATTGGATGAGTGTGTATTTCCATGATTGATTTTAGAATCCGATGATTTTAACCCAGTGTCTATACTTTTTGCACAGTTCACCTATATCTGAACTTTAAACCCTGACGCTTATTAATGTCAACAAATATGATGTACCCTGTGAGCTTTTTTCAAATGTTTTTCATAGGACACTGACTCTGATATTAGGCCTACTGATTTGTTACCAAATTGAGACTCTAATATTGCTAAAAATATAATATTTATAGTAAAAAAACAGATTTTATGGGGTGCAGCTTGGCAGTAAACACACTTAATACTACCGTTTGCTAGTAATATTTACTGAGGTTACCTCCCATGGTATCATGGTTTTTTTTATCATTTTGTGAAATTTAAAAGTAATTAATATCTTTCTTCTCATTATTATTTACATGTCGTTGGGCACAATGAGTTAATCAAGTGATTTTTTACAAAGAAAAAGATTTTATAGGCCTACAAAAGTTTATACGCCTTGAACCATCTGAAATGTCCTGCACCATCGATCCCTCGGGCTCTGCCTGATACACTTACCTAGATTGCCTGATTATTTTAAAGTACATATGATAATATATTAAACATAGTTAGTAATTTGAACCTTTATATGTTTCAGGCAAGTCTCAGAGCGGAGCCTCCACAACCACCACTCCCTCCACATCTGCACCTCAGCCGGAGAGAAACTGCCAAATACCGGCTATCAACCGTGCAGAACTGTTGGCATCGCTGACGCACGCACAAAACCGTCAACGAACTGAGAGCAGGACCAACGCTAGGCAGGTTAGAAGCTCAGCCATCTAATCAGCAAAACTTTGTACAGTAAAAGCCCGCTAATCTGGCATCCGATGGTCCAGCATTTTAAATAATCCGGCATCGGTGTTAGGCCAAGCAATTTCTGAATGTTTTAGGTCATTTTATTGCAGTCGGCAGATCTTAGGAGCAATCAGCACATGTTGGAAGCAATGGGCAGACATTGGGAATGATGGACTGAGTTGGTAGTGATATATACAACGGGAGCAATTGGCAGAAGTCACTTGCATTTGATGAGATTCAGAATTTTTCATATGGATTTCTTTTTGGCATTATTCATCACTTATAAAATAAAAGAAAGCCCATTAAAATTTAGCTGCCTTTCCTGCAGCACATAAGTACTCTTTAAAATTAATGTTATTGAAATAGAAAATCAATCTGACAACCTTTAGGGAATATTTTTAGTCAACATGCAATCAGGTACATGGAAGTTAGAGCTGTTTGCAGGTTTGCTGTGTTTGGGGATCACTTTAAATTGTTCTATAATTTTACTCCTGAAGCATGTTCATTATTTTTACAGTGTGCTGTGCCCGTCTGCGACAGGCAGAAATTGCTGAAACGCTTGATGACACTTCAGGCAGGTAAGTCTAACTTAGTGCATAACTGCAACGCATCCAAATATATGATGTCTCACTCGAAAGAAAGTGCAGTACCTGACTGCCCCATCTGCCAGTCAGGGGAACAAATTCAATTGTTAGGGTAATTTGTTTTGAAACTGAGTTAAAAGTGCTTTTTTTTAGATCATTTTGAAAAATCTCATAATTTTTTTTACTGTAGGCCTAAATTTTTGTCCTCTTGCTTCAACGATTAAGCTTAAAGTGTCCACCAATTGACAAGTTTCTGTCTTGCCAATATTCACATTTGGCTACCCCTAGTCATCTTAAACAAATTTTCCCAAACTCTATTACAATTTCAGTTTCTATTGGGCTGAGGATATAGTTCCAGGCAGTGTCGAAAAGTTACAAAACTGGCAGGTAAATTACATGAAGATATGACTTCAAATTTGTAACCTAACCACAAGTACTGTCTACGTGCACTATAACACAATCCATAGCCCGTGGACTCCATGACTAAATAAATAGACAATCTTACCACTGTCTGTAGATTTTCATAAAAAAATTGCCTGGGCTAAATAAAGAGGTGAGGAAGCATATTTGATCTATATCCATATGTCATTTTATTATACATAGGTAGTAAAATAAAAAATAAAATTATTCGGCAAATCACACTTCCAAAGACAACAACCAAACATTTGATATTTTTTTAATGTGAAGAAGTTGGTTTAACCTTGAGTTTGGCTATTGCAGATACAGATTTGGAGCAAGCAGCTGTCAAAGTGCAGCAGTTGAACCTGGTGGAGAGTGAGTCAGACACGGACACAAACATGGAGACTGGTGAAGACACAGACCGTGGCTTTGTCATGGTAAACATGACCACAGAGCAGACTAGTCCTGAGGGGACCCAAGGTATGTCGATGAGTAAAATATGTTGCTGAAATAAATTCGTGAATATTTCTTGTGATAACAACCTCCTATCACAGCAACATCATGATTGAAATGAAATAAACTGTTTATTTGTCACACAGAATGGAACAATATTCTACCTAATAGATTTTGTCTGGGTCCTGGGATTCCCTTTTTGTTGGACATCTGCGTTCCTTTTTGTTGGAAATTTTTGTCCGACCTTTTGAGAAGTGTAATGAAGTTATTGGCTGTTTGGGTCTGAGCCTTGTACCAACAAAGCTCTAGTGTTTTCGGTTTAAAAGCTATAACAAGGTATAATATACAGTAATAAATACGTCAAAAACTCTCATATTGATGTCAATCATCTGTATCCTTAGGTGAGCTTAAGGAGGATAATACAGCTGCTTCTGAGACTGTTAACCCTGAAGAAGCACAGCCAGAACCTCAGCGTACCCCTTTCGTACAATCGCAGCAGCCGCATTTGGGATTTTGGCACCAGGTCCCACTAGGTTCAGATTATCCTAGACCTATGTTCTATCCCCTCCACGCGAGACCCCACAATGTCTACAATTCGCCAGTGTTTTCCGAAATACCCCTTCGCCCTGCCAACAACCTAGGGGTTGTTTTCCCCCCTCCTATGAACTATCACAACACATGGATGCCTCCCCCGCCTGTACCTCTTCACCCATTTGTTCCTCTTCCCCAAACAATGACTCCTCTGGCCTCGCACCCCTTGCCAGTGACTCTGCAACCAGTCACACAATCACCAGCTACTGCGCAAACCACTGTTACTCCGACTGAGGCTGCAGATATAACAGCACCAGAAAACGCAGATATAACAGCACCAGAAAACCCTGCTGCGACTGTGCCAACTACGGCTGAAGTTGAACAGGAGCAGCAGCAAGAACCTCAGACAGACGCTGCAACTCCCAATCCAGAAGAGGAAACCCAAACCCAAGCCCAAACATCCAACCCGGTCCAGATCCTGCCTCAGTCGCTGGTGGATGGGGCTATCAACGTAGCCGCCACTGCCTACTCCACAGCCTGGAACGCCCTCAACAACCTTCGTCCAAAAGAGGGAGAAGCTGCGGTATGTATTAAGCTAGATAGATTGGTTTGAATATTGTAATGGCTTACCTAAGTTTGATTTATAATGGGATTGTTTGCTAGGTAATTAAATTAATACCAAAGGAATAGAGTTCAACTAGCATCTGAGAAAATTATTCCAGGGAGTAATAGTTACACAATGAAAGAAAACAAAACTTTACACTGATACTCTTCTACTTATACAGTAACTTTACTTGATACTGAAACTTTTTGTCCTGATGTAGGATTTTTTCAGAGTAGTTTTCAGAGAAGAAACTTTCCTTCCCCGGACAATAATTTTCTTAGATAAGCTAGCTGAACTCTATTGTTCTTTTAAAAAAATCCTTACCAGCCAATTAGCTTTCCTTTGAAATATAATTGATTAATACTAAGAAACTTCTATCATGAGTTTTAAAAACTCCTATCTCCTTCTCCAGTTGATCATTTATTATTTTACCTCCTTCCTACAACAGGCAGTACAATGAATCTGTGATTGGAAAAGGAGCTAGTAGTTCTGAAAACTTTTGGCGTTTATGTTTTTTTATCAGCATAAATTTTATACCAGTAAACTTAGTAAGATTGGATTCACACTTAAGATGCAGTTCTGTATCCTTCGAAGACAACGTATCTCGGACTGCTTGGGTACCAATCACTATCAGATCTATAAATCAACAATGTCACAGATGGGAAATACCATTAACTTTGCCATAATAGTCATGACAGTTCCATAGCTCTTCGTAAATAGGTGAAATAATACATTATTTTTGTCACAAAAGCTACTATTCTTCATCAAGAAAGCTACAACCGGTCGTTTTTAATAGGAAGCGATAGGATCAGTGTTATTTATCACTCGTTTTATCAGTTCAGATGACGTTACAAAAATAATCATATTACTTAGGAACAGTTAATAGAAAGACACAATAAAAGGGATACCTTTAGCTATTACATTTGTTCGTTTGAACAGGTTTTTTCTTTTTTTTCTCATATCTTCGCCAGTTTAGATTATGTTGCTAAAATAATAGGGAATTTTCAGTAATCTACTACCAGTGTAGGTGACATAGTATTATTTATCTATATACTAGCAGAGTACCCGTCCTTCGTACGGGGTTGGCATATAAGTATCAAATGCTTATAGCAGTTATGAGTGAGGACATGGTTTAAGAAATTTCGGTTCTTTTTGAAGTTCGTTTGCTACGCTCACTCACCTTTAGGTTGGAGCTCGTTCGCTGCGCTCACTTTCCTTCAGGTTAGCTCGTTCGCTACGCTCACTTGCCTTCGGGTTAGCTCGTTCGCTACGCTCACTCGCCTCCAGGTTGAAGTTCGTTCGCTACGCTCACTCACCTTTTGCTGTTGTCATAAATGTAAAAGAAATAATAGTGCTAGTGCTGAACCCTGTTGGTAATCCTTGTAACTTTTAATGCTATTGAACATCATAGAACAGAACCAACTTGTTTAATTGAAACAGCTGTTAAGATTCATTAATTCCATTTCTCATAAGGTTAACATGGGAAACTCCAGAGCCACTGGGGCGGAGCCCCGAAGGATTTTTTGGGATAAAAATATGCCTATATGTTAATCGGGAATGTGAGCTATCATCATGCCAAATTTCAGCCCGATCCGACCAGTAGATTTTGAGATTAGCTCATACAAACACACACACAGACACCACCTCTTCTTTATAATAGTACTAGCAGAGTACCCGTCCTTCGTACGGGGTTGGCATATAAGTATCAAATGCTTATAGCAGTTATGAGTGAGGACATGGTTTAAGAAATTTCGGTTCTTTTTGAAGTTCGTTCGCTACGCTCACTCACCTTTAGGTTGGAGCTCGTTCGCTGCGCTCACTTTCCTTCAGGTTAGCTCGTTCGCTACGCTCACTTGCCTTCAGGTTAGCTCGTTCGCTACGCTCACTCGCCTCCAGGTTGAAGTTCGTTCGCTACGCTCACTCACCTTTTGCTGTTGTCATAAATGTAAAAGAAATAATAGTGCTAGTGCTGCACCCTGTTGGTAATCCTTGTAACTTTTAATGCTATTGAACATCATAGAACAGAACCAACTTGTTTAATTGAAACAGCTGTTAAGATTCATTAATTCCATTTCTCATAAGGTTAACATGGGAAACTCCAGAGCCACTGGGGCGGAGCCCCGAAGGATTTTTGGGATAAAAATATGCCTATATGTTAATCGGGAATGTGAGCTATCATCATGCCAAATTTCAGCCCGATCCGACCAGTAGTTTTTGAGATTAGCTCATACAAACACACACACAGACACCACCTCTTCTTTATAATAGTATAGAATATAGAATAGAATATAGAATATAGAATAGATAGATAGATAGATAACTTAGGCAAGCACGATATTTGTCGGCAGAACTCCTCCGTAGTTTCTCAACCGATTTTGTTAGTTTAGGGCTCGCTGAAAAGATCTCTGAGTAGATGTCAGATTATAAGGTCTTACTTGTTGAAAAAGTCCTATGGGCTCTGCCCCAGTGCCTTTTAAAGCTCCAATGTTTACCCTTTTTGTTTACATAGGTTTGTTCAAGCTATTTCTTTTAACAGCTGGTAATATTTGTATATGTTTATGTTGTAATGAAAACAAATCATCTTTGTGTGATTACATGGCTAAATTAGTTTTTTTTATTTTGTTTCACTATTGCTGGCTTTTTTAATACACACTTCTTTAGAACTCTTCTCTGCTTTTTTAAAGACATGCCACAGCGTCGCCGGTCAAATACGTTCGGTAATCGTAGCAATATTTAGCTGGAGCTTCATCTAGACTCCATGTACTGATTCCAAAGTTGGAGTGTATCTTCCAAAACCTGTGTTCGGACACGGCCAGCTACTACGTTGCCACCAGTAGAGCAAGGTTGCTGAGCTAAGGTTCTTCATAGAAGACACTTCCGAGCAGGTTCGCTTAAGAGATGATCATCGTGTTTACACTAAAACTTTGCTTATGGTGAACTGATTTTACATTAATAATTTACTGTTAAAAGAATATAAAATATGTATTTATTACACCAGTGAGCACAGAGTTCATTCCAGGTTTGTTGTAAAATAAAAAGCTTTGTCGTTCACTGAGAATTGGAAGAAATGGGGACGTATAACGTGCTTGGGCATATCGGTTTCGATCGGTTGCCTATGGGGCAATGCTGTCCTTATAAGTATTAAAAAAAAGCTACATTTGGAAACTGCTCTACGTAGCTCCCACAATTATCTGACCTCGGGACGTTACTTTAAATTATGCCCACCTCTAATGTTTAATGTTCCAAAACATTTGGGGTGGATGTATCACTTCTGTTAGATTCGTCACTCATGACGTCTTATGACATTCGCAGGAGTTTGACCCAGTGTTTGAGAACAACATGGCTGTGTTGGTGGAGATGGGGTTCAACAACCTTGAGCGCAATGCCCGTCTTCTCAAGCGCTTCAACAATGATATAAGCCAAGTGATCGGAGTCATCTGCTCCACTGGCGGGGGCCACGACTTGAACATTGATTAAGCAACAATCCACGATATATTTTAACACACAACGTATTCTTTCATGTAATTTTAAGTAACATATAGTCCTATTGTTTAAGTACTTGTATAACTGAAGTTGTTTATAAGATTGTCTGTGGTGATGGCGATTTCCGAGTTAATTATTTTTCCATTAGACAAACGCTTCTGTGGTCTTTAGTGAGTTTTATGTGATACTGGTTAATGTTGTAAAACATGGCTGTGGCGAGGAATTTTGTCTTAGTGTTTTGTCACATTTTTGGGGTAGAGAATTGTTTCTAAAGTTATGGGATTAAGCTTTTGCATTTACGTAGTGTCAATGATGTAATTACCGTTTCCTCGCATTACTTTTATGGTTTAAGTCTGTGTAGCATTTATTTGTTCTCTTGGTTAATTTCATACCTCTGTTATTTTTTCAGACTATTAATCACCTTATTTAATCCAAGGGCATTAGTGTCACTCGTATAATTGGTGGATTTGAATACTATTCATCAAACTGATATATTATTCAGTTGTTATCCATTGTATTGCAATATATTGTTTGTGTTAAGTAGTTAAGAGTTTAGCTAGAGTTTATCTATATAGGGTGTTTTTTTTTCTATTTTAATATGTTATCAAGTTAACTTTAATTATTAAAATGTTTAGCTATTCAACATTGTAACTTGTTGTAAGAATCAAATAATTTGCAAATTAAATATTTTTTTAAATTAGACCCATTATGCTTTGAAGAAAACAATATTTTTCCAAAAAGATGTAATGTTACATACAAGATGTTACTTAAGAGTTTTTAACCTTTATTAAAATAAAACGAAATACTACAAAGGATATTATGTAAATAAAGCTTCATTATCAAAAAAAATTTGGTCCTGCGTTCAAGTGTATGCACATGTAGCATTTTAATCAAGTGTATAAAATAAAACTGTTAAATTACATTGTGTTGTCATTAATAATCCAAAGAAACCTAATTTTGGTTTATACTCCTGCAAAAGTGATTGATTGGTAGCAACTGCACAAGATGCGTTGTGGGGCTAAAGAGATTCTTTCAATCAATTGATAAAAAAGAATCAGCTGTAGTCGAGGATATCATTATCAGATATATACCTTTCTCACTATAAAAATTGTCTACTTGCAGAAAAAATAGTACTGAAAGGAATAATATCATTATTAAATATTCTTGAGTTTGTCAAGTCACATGTTGATTTAACTCGGAGCGAGCTGGTCTAGTGGTAGAGCGAAGGACTTCAATCCCCAAGATTCCGGGTTCAATCCCGCCAATCAATTTGATATAAGTGAAAATGGGGCAACCCCTAGGTCAAGTCTGAAGTAACGTGAAAAATGAACCCGAGGTAGGTAAAAAGGCCTAGGGTGAAAAACTGTATATTCCACCCCAAAAAAATATTGCCAAAGGAGATTTAATATAACCACATACAAGGGAAATTACGCACCTATGGAAAATAATTTTCAAGCTGATTTAACAAGGGCTTTCCATAAATCAACAAGGTATAAAATAAAACAATGGCTTTACAGATTTTGATTAAAATTCTGTATATGGTCCATATTTCCAAACAAAATGGCATAACCCACATGGCTGTAAAAATTATGATTCAAAAGTTATTGCAACTTTTGTGATTTTCACCATAAAATATTATAGTTACTCCCACTGTTTACGTATAATGAAGGTTGTTGGCTATTTAATGGGGGATAGTAGGTGTCAAATTGCTGATACCGTTTATTAATTTACCTGAAATGAAATTTCACATTTAGCAGTAGTATATTAAGGAACGCGGCAGCGTTCCGCCCCGCCAAGTCCCCCAGCGGTACACAGCTGCTGCAGTGTATATATACATGACGTGACAAAGTGGCTTTTTCACTCGTCTATAGCTCTGAAGAAACAAAAGCTATTAAAATAATTGTTCATCTATTGGATAGGGGCACTCATTCTCAACAAAATTTAAAAAAAGAATTTTAAAAACGGTTGTGTTTGAGCCAAGAAAAACTAGTTTGAAAATTCAAAAATTTTCCGTGTTCTCCTTCTCCTCCTTCTCCTTCTCCTTGAATGTTGACGGACCTACAGCCCAAACCACTGGCTCAATTTTAATGTTCTTTATGTTGTTTGAAAGGCCTTAACGTGTAGATGTGCCTTTTGAGGGTCTCAAGTCGGTGAGTTGACCCATAAACCCTTGGCAAGCCCTCAAAGTACGATTTTGGCCCATTTAAATGACATGGGATTAAAATCAAAACAAAAGAAGGACCAGCTGCGATTAAATCTCAATTAATTTCAATGTTAGAGAAATTCATAGGAACAGCTGAAAAAATATTTTAAAACTTTTATAAAGTATTTTTTTCAGGTATACTGAATGATTTTAACTACTTACTATATAAAATTACTTAGAGCAGTGATATTCCCCGATACTTTCCATTGAAAAATGCAGTGTACCGATGGTACACTGGTACAGCAGCTCGTCATTTTTAACAGTTTAATACTACTTATCAAAACATATGAAACCTAGGAACTTGAAACTTAGTACTAGGACTTAGGTTTGTTTTATGTTTTGATACACTAAAACAAATAAAATAATCGGGAAATTCACTCTACGTATGTTAAACAAGCAATTAGAAAGTGATATGTAAATTTAGGATAAATGAGTTTTTCAATATTTGATTGCCTTATGCTATTTCTAACAATCCTAATCTGTTTGATTACATTTTAACTTCTCTAATAAGGGCTCAATTTACACTAGTCGTTAGATATATGGGTTTAATTATCAGAACACTTATGTAACACCAACGCATTTTGTGTTGTTCAAGATGACCATCATTGATGAAATTTGAAACTGATATTTTAACTGTTAATTTTCTACAAAAATAAATAAAATCTAACAAAAAACCACAAGGTGGTAACACTTTCCCCGCCAAGTCAGCAATCCAAAAAAGATAATAAATCATTACTTTTTCCGCCAAGAAAAACAATGTAATGTATGTTAGTTTGGCAACTTGGCGGCAGACTTTTGCTCAATCACTTTAAAAAAATACCATAAAAATAGTTTCATTGAGCAAGTATCTCTCCCATTAGTACATTGCTAGGTGAGATCTTATTTTACAAAATTTGACTTTATTTGTGCCACATTTCATAATCATCATAATAGTGATGGTTTTATATTTACTGATTACCTCGAAATTATTATACTTAGTTGGACTAATTAATTAGAGAAATTGATTTGTAAAATTATCCACGAACGTAACTTTAATGAAAAAAACCAAACAAAAGTCTGCCGCCAAGTTGCCAAACTTACATACATTACATTGTTTTTCTTGGCGGAAAAAGTAATGATTTATTATCTTTTTTGGATTGCTGACTTGGCGGGGAAAGTGTTACCACCTTGTGGTTTTTTGTTAGATAAGTAACTAATTCATGAACTGTAAAGCAGATGATGTTATTTTGTTATCATTGGTAGATTATTCAATGAAGATTTGTGTATATAATAATAAAAAAAAATAATTTTTTTTTACTGTAACGCTAACAACGTCTAACTATGGAGGCCCACAAAAATAAATAAAACTATAAAATAGCAGCAGAGTACCCATCCTTCGTATGGGGTTGGCATATAAGTATCAAATGCTTATTGCAGACAAAATAATTATTGATATTATAAGTATCAAATGCTTATTGCAGTTATACTCAAACTTTGCGTTTGCAATGGGAGAGGACACATTTAGATAAAATTCAGTTCTTAAAATTTGTGGTATACTATAGTATAACACATCTACCATATAGCCATAATGTTCTACCACTGCAACTAAACAATGGAACAAATCACCAAACATTCACACGCAATTTCACAAATTATTCATTAATTTAATTAAGACTCTTCATCTTCTAAAAAGTGTACCTAGTTCTTTCATAGTTGTATCGGCTCTTCTAATACACTCTTCAAGAACCAGCTTGTTAAGTTGGAACAGCTGATTAATAGCTATTTACCTTACAAGTGTAGTAAGAGCGTTTTTACATCACGCAGGTGAATGTTGTGCAACGAGCGGAAGCGAGTTGCATAATTTACCGAAGTGATGTAAACACGCTCTTGCGTAACGTGTAACGTACAAGATTTTACCTGACCCGACAATGTACAGGAGGTTACGAACAATATTTTTCATTATCCATTTCACTCATCTTCTATCAGTAACGTTCATTTACAAACAAAAGCTAGGTTAAGAAAATTCTTCAAAACATAACATAAAATTCAAGCGCACAGCTGATTTCTAGCGTTGAAAGTCGTTGGCTCCATAGAGGTATATTTTTTAAGTTAAGCACTCAATGTTATTTAAATGGGTTTCATTACATCACCGAGTGAGTTTTTTTCAACTTTACATCACTCGAGAAGTAACGAAGTTATATACATCACGCTTGGGATAGGGAAGTTTAACATGGCGGGTTAGGTAAATTCTTTAATTCCTTTTAAACTCATAAGGTTAACATGGGGAACTACAGTGCCACTGGGGCGGAGCCTGAAAGGATTTTTGAGATAAGGATAGGCCTATATGTTAAGCGAGCTATAATGTGCCAAATTTCAGCACAATCCTCAAGTAGTTAATGTGTAATTGAACTACAAACAAACACAAAAACTTTCACATTTTTAATATTAGTAAGATAAGATATAAAATGGTGTTGAGTCATATTTAAAGTCTAAACGTGATTTATACAATTTACTAAAAATAATTATTTCAATGGAATCAAAGAATATAAATGCTGTCGTTTGCATTTATTATTTTTCTGTGAATTTATTTTATTTTCCAAAGTATACTCCTAGGATATAATCATTATATAATGCATTTTCCAAATGCTATGAAAGGATTGAAGAAAAAACATTTTGTTTTAAATATTAGATGGAAAATTAATATTCTGTTTTTATTAGATGCAATCCAATTCACATTTAAGAAACACATTTTGGGCTGCAGGAAACAAAAGAGACAGGAACATAATGGAATCGTTGGTTGGATTACTGTACAAGTCCAGATAGCGAGAATTGGCTTTGAGTCCTGGTTAATTGCATTCTTTCTCCTCTTTTGGGATGTATAGCTTACAAACGTTTAGTTAAACTTTCAGTTAAAAAAAAAATATTTTTACTTTTCTAACCGTTAATGTGAAGAATAGAATAATAGCACTGATAGCTACTATTCTACAGTAATATTTGCCTAAGATCATAACATTGGATAAAGGATGGTTGTAATTAAATTTAAAATGGAAATTCAAATTTTTGTCTTTTTATCTTCAAAACCAAGACATGGTTGACTCATTTCCTCTAATCGGTTGGTTAAGACATTCCCACAGCCGGTGCTGGTTCAAGAGCAGAGTTAGTAGTAGGGGCATCTTCTACTTTACATAAAGATTCAATATTAGCTTCTTTATTCCATGCCATATCTTCAGGACTGAGCATACCTTTCCTGGAAAAAATGTATACCATGATGTCTATTGAAATCGTCAATAGTTTAACGCTTTGTACACTACATTAGAAAATCACAGGTGGGTTAACGGGAGCTTTTGAAAATGCAATAAAGGATTTCTTTTCTAGTAAGGGCCAAGAACAAGTTTTCATAGGAAGAACTCTGGGACAAAATATTAGTTTTCCTAAGGGCAAGAACTATAACTAAATGGTTGTTTTAGTAACATTTTAAAATATTGCATAAGCGTCAGCAATTACATTTGTATTGTTTTGTTACTGTTTGTTTAATTTCTCGTTAAACTTTTGATCCTCTTCATAGATTTTCTTTGTTTGCATCTATACAGGGTTTCCTGTTTGAACTAGAAAAACTCCAGGGAATTGTTGTATTGGTCAAATAAAAAGAAAATCAAGAATAGCATTTTGCCAAAATCACTTTGTTAATCATATATCCACTATTTTGTATTTTTTACAAATCCTTTTTATCTTT